GAGAATTATTTTTAAAATATGTTTCCTCTCCCATGTGTTCCTTTTCTTCCTTCTGAGATTTTATTATTCTCAAGTCAAGTTCCCCGAGTCTATCCGCTAAGTCTCTATTAGCAGATATCTTTACTTCATGATTTCATTATCTTTGCAATTTTCTTCCGTTCATTGAGATGCTTCTTCCATTTGGTCTCTCAGATGGCTAATTTGGTTGTCAACAACAGAAATCCTCTATTTCAAATCATCTACTTCATTCTGTAGCTAAGAAATATTTTTAGTTCCAGAAGGTCATAATTCTTCTTCTTCTTTTTTTTTTTTTTTAGGCAAGAGCGGTTGGGGTGAGGGTCAAAACTATACTGAATCTCCTTAAAGCTCCTTTTTTTTTTTTTTTAGGCAAGAGCGGTTGGGGTGAGGGTCAAAACTATACTGAATCTCCTTAAAGCTCCTTTTTTTTTTTTTTTAGGCAAGAGCGGTTGGGGTGAGGGTCAAAACTATACTGAATCTCCTTAAAGCTCCTTTTTTTTTTTTTTTAGGCAAGAGCGGTTGGGGTGAGGGTCAAAACTATACTGAATCTCCTTAAAGCTCCTTTATTTTTATTTATTTATTTTTTTTTATTCAAGTTGTTGCCTGGCTCCTGGAACACCTCCGATCCTTTTATGTATTTTTTGCCCACTGAGGATCAACTTTGGGTATTAAAGCACCCTAAAGAGCAGCAGCCCCACAACCTACCTGTGCAGCAAATAATTATCTTTCTGGGATTCAAAATCAGCCATACCCACATGGGACAAATTTAACTTACCCTTAGGATCCCCATGTCCTGATACTTCCCCAGGTGCTCTTTACAGATGAAGAGGACAAAGCCCTGCATGGGCTTTTCTGAGCAGCCTCCCCCAGAACCCAAGATATCATTTCCACCCAGCTGTCACTTGGTTCAGATGAGACACACATCTAACATTCATATGGAACAACAAAAGACCCCAAATGGCCAAAACAATCATGAGCAAAAAAAGTAAAGCTGGAGGCATTAAGTTTCCCGACTTCCAACTATATTACAAATCTCTAATATAGCATGGTACTGGCATAGAAACAAACACGTGGACCAATGGAACAGTATAGAGAACTCAGAAATCAACCAACATCTTTACAGCCAACTGATCTTAGACAGAGTCCCCGAGGATATACATTGGGGAAAAGACTATCTCTTCAATAAATGCTGCTGGGAAAACTGAATATCCATTTGTAGAAGAATGAAACTTGATCTGTACCTTTCACCATATACCAAAACCCACTCAAAATGGATTAGAAACCTAAATATAAGGCCTGAAACTTTAAACTCCTAGAAGAAAACGTAGGGGAAATGCTCCAGGATAAAGGACTGGGCAATGATTTTATGAATAGCACACCAAAAGCACAGGCAACAGAATAAAAAATAAACAAATGGGATTTTATCAAACTAAACAGATTCTGCATACCAAAGGAAGCAATCAATAGAGTGAAAAGACATACGATACAATGGGAAAAAATATTTGCCAACTAGGCAACTGACAAGGGACTAATATACAGAATATATAAAGAGCTCAGACTACTTTACAGCAAACAACAATCCATTTTAAAAATGCGCCAAGGAGCTGAATAGACATTTTTTAAAGGAAGACATAAAAATGGACAACAGGGATATGAAAAAATGCTCAACAGAATTAATCATCAGGGAAACACAAATCAAAACCTCACTGAGATATCATCTCACCCCAGTTAGAGTGGCTATTATCAAAAAGACAGCGAAGAACAAACGTTGGCAAGGATGTGAAGAAGGGCGAACTTCCTACACTGTTGCTGCGACTGTAAATTAGTACATCCATTATGGAGAACAGTATGGAGGTTCCTCAAACAACTGCAGAGAGAAGTGCCATATGATCCAGCAATCCTATTCCTAGGGATATATCCAGAGGTTTGGAAAACATCAGGTTTAAGGGATACCTGCGCACTCCCATGTTTTCTGCAACTCTATTTACAATATCTAGGCAATGAAACAAACATAAATGTGTACAGATGGATGCCTGGATAAGGGAATTGTGGTATATAAAAACATTGGAATACTACTCAGCCATAAAAAGAATGAACTTCTGCCATTAGCAACAACATGGATGAGCTCGGAGAAAATTATCCTAAGTTAAACAACCCAGGTAAAGAAAGAGAAATACCACACTCATAGCTGGGAGCTGATATAATATAAATAAAAAAATGAACAATAAAGAGAGGCAGAGAGAAAGAAAAAAGAAACAACAATCATGGTAATACATTGAACTTTTAGAAAGCTATAAGTGGAAAAGAGGAGGGGAGGGGAAAAGAAAGGGGGCTAATGAGGAATTGTTCAATGGACAAAAAGGATGACTTCATATTGTAATGACGAATAAGCTAACTATACTGATCCAACCACACATTCTACATAATTATTGAAAATCAACGTTTTACCCCAAATGAATGTATAATAAAAAAGTAAATTAAAACAAACAAACAAATCAAAACCAGGTAGGAACTTAATATGGACATGGATAGGATGCAAGATTCATTTCAAGTTGCCATCTTCTCAGAAATTTCTCTGTGCCTAGACCTAAGTTTGTAAAATTTTTAAAAGCTGTATATTTTGTATACCTTAGACTAAAACATAAAATGTGGTCTTATGCTTACAGAAAAAGAATAAAAGATGTTAAGTAACCTTGCCAAAAATGTAGTTTTTGATTCAGTCCTTGAATCAGAAACTGGAAATTTGTATACACAAAACAAGAAAGCTAAATAGGAAAAACAAATAACCTGGAATCATTCGATCAATTTAGTATCTAAAGTTGACATTTCAAGTGTGGGGGGGGAATACAATATTCAACAAATGATACTTTTATAAAATGACAAGTCAATTGGTAAAAATAAGCTGGATCCCCAGTCATCAAAATAAATTCCAAAGGAATAAAAAAAAATGTAAATGTTAAATACACAAAACAATAGAAAGAAGCACTATTAAATTTCTTTGTTGGGCTTAAGAAAGTATTACATCTCTCTAAGCATGATACATTACAAGATCCAGAAGTAATAACAGATTAATAAATTTGTATACATAAAGATGAAAAACACATGTATGACAAAAAAGAATAAAGTCAAGTGTCAAACATATACTTGGCAATAAACAGGAATAAACTGTTGATATGCACACAACATGAGTATCAATAACACTAGGCTAAGTAAAGAAAGCATGGGCGAAAACTTCTTACTGGATGATTCCATTCAAGTAAAAGCCTAGAAGAGGAAAAACTGTAATGACAGAAAGATGGGGTTGCCCAGGCCTAAGGGGAGGGGACTGAGTGTAAAGGAGCACAAAAATGGGATTGTGTGTGGGGGTGGGGTACTGGAAATTATCTATATCATGATTGTGGTGGTGGTTACATAATGGCATACATTTGTCAATATGTATTCAATTCCACACTTAAAATAGGTGACTGTTAAGGTTTGCTCATTATACCCTAATAAAGCCAATAAAAATGTCAAACATAGAAGATTTACAACATAAGAGTATATGACTGAGTCATTTACTCATTATATAAATAACTTAAAATAGGTAATAAAATAACAAACAACCTAATAGAAAATTGTGCACAGAAAATAAACACACAGTTCACAGAAGAAAAACTTACAAGGAACCAATAGATACATGAAGAAATGTTCAACCTGTTATAATTTAAGAAATGAATATCAAACTAGACTACAGTTTTCTATCAATCAGATTGACAAAGATTAAAATATTTGCTAGTACCCAGTGCTGCAATGTAGGGACATGCACACTCTACTACAGGTTTTCTTTTGATGAGAATTTAGCAATATCTATCAACATTTTATTTATTTATATATATATATATTTTTTTTTAAATGTGTTTAGTTATTTAAAACAACAGCAATAAGCCCATTACATGTTAACGTAAATAACATTTTGAAGTGAAAAATAACTTTTCCAAAGCAGAAAATATTAGTAAGATTGCATTATGTTTTCAAATCTCATTAATGTCTGGCTTAATAGGAGACATCTGGATTCATATATCTACTGTGTTTGATCTATATTTTTTGGTGGCTGACTCGTACAGGGATAGAACCTTTGACCTTGGGGTTATAACACTGCACTCTAACCAGCTGAGCTAATCGACCTACTGTCTATCAACATTTTAAATACACATAGTTTTAGACCCAAGTATTCCACTTATAGAAATTCACCTCAGAGATAGATTTATGCAAATAAAGATATAATAACAACATACATTTATAGAGTGCTTCATATGCTAGGAATTGTGTTCAGTCTTTTATCTAAATTTTTTGATGTATTCCTTATAATAACAGTGAATGTTACGTACTTTTATTGTCCCCATTTTACAGATGGGACAACTAAGATACAAAGAGGACCTTCCTCAAGGTAATACCACTAGTGAGTGGCAGAGTCAGGATTCAAACCCAGGCAGCTTGGCTATAGGATTTATACTCTTAGATACTATGTTATTCTCCATCTCTAAAGAATGCTTAATGTCGCACAATTTGGAACAGCAAAATACAAATCAATAGGAGACTGGTTAAATAAATAGCATTTATAAAATAAAATACCAGGCAGAATTCATTAAAAAATAAAGTAACTTTCTATATATGAAAATTAAAACATGTCATCTTATGGCAATAAATGAAAAAGGTTGTTGCAAACACTACTTAAACAGCAAAAATATATTTTAAAGCAGTGAAATTAGGAAAATACATATACTTGCTTATACAGAGAACACTTCAAGAGGCTAAACATCAAACTGTGTTTAGCAAATATCACTGATATATAATTATTAATTTTTACTTTATTCCATTCTGCATCATTTGAATATTTTAAAATGATAGGCATGCAACTTTTATTACCAAAAAACCCAAACCTGGTTTAAAAACACACTCCCTTATTCCACTAGTATTTTGTAACTTTTATGACATAGATTTACCTTCAGCTCTTGGATTAGCTGGCTTCTTCTGACTCTTAGATTCGTTAACTCTTTCTCATCCCAGCATCTAGCCTTGTATTTTAAATCACTTGACACTCCAGAGATCACCCCAGATTTTAAAAATAATGTTCTATCAAGAGCCACTGTCTGTAAAATCAAAAATATTTTACCTTGAAAAAGCATACATAAAGAAGACAAAAATAAGGATATTATCTGGCAATTTGTACAGCTGAAAATTTGAAGATGAGAAAAACCACTTACTGTGCTTTACTAACAAAGTATGTAGTTTACGAAGGGACACCAGCCAAGAAACAAGACATAAATACAAAACCCCTTTTACAAAGGCCCAAAGCAATTCTAGACAACAAATTAGTGGCAATTACTAAGGTTTGAAATAAGCTGAATAGTAATTCCAAACATATTCAACACTGGCAAGTAAAAACTAAGAATACTTATATGCAGTACCAAATAGTTCGCATTACATAATCCTGTATCTTGAGGAATCTTGTCATATATGTCAATGGCATATTTTGAAAATAGCCTTCATAATTTTAGGATACCAAAAATATCACTCTATCCAAAATGAATTTGAAACTGGAACCAATAAAAAAATTTAAATGGAGTCAAGGTATAATACAGCCTGAAGTTTATAGTCCTGCTAGTAAGCATGTGCTTTATGGAGTAAGTGAAAGGCTCCACTGCTTCCATGCTTCTAAATTGTTGTCATTAAAGCGTATTTTACCTCTGCACTGTGTGTACTAGTAATGTGTGTATATGTGTATGTCAGTGTCTCTTATATGACAATCTTCAAAGTCCTTGTGAGGTCCAAGATGACTCGTAGAGTTTCAGCCATAGTGTCTGTGCTTCAGGAAAGAAGACAGGAAGGGAGAGTCTCGGTAAAAAGGTCCTATAAGGAAGCTTTCCTGGCAGGCCCAGCAATGACTACCATTTACATCCAGTGCCTACGCCTAGATTGCTACACAATGAAATCAAGGTCCATGAGTAAGGGAGAAGTAGAGAGGAATATTGAGCAGGCAGTTGTCTCTGACACAGACAGGAGGTAGCCAGGGAAAGCTCAGTGGTGGCATGCTGGCGGGAAAGGCATGAATACATAAAATGGATTGTGTATGAGTGTGCATGTGTCACAGGGATGGGAAGGGCAAAGAAGGAACATAAAAGGGTTTGGAATTCCTGCAAGAGTTACGGAACAACTTAGAGATGAGGCTAGTAGACAAGCCAGATCTTTGGCAGCCCTCAGAGGAAGAACGTGGATGGAATTCCACTGAGGACTAGTGGAGTTTGTAGAGGGAGCTGAGGAGGACTGGCTCTGAACACATTGAAACCCAACAGAAAGAGAGAAATGACAGAGAGGAGCTTTAGATAGACCATTCTGGCAACTATTTGGAAAATGCATTGGTCCAGCAAGGCCAGAGATGATGGTATAAATTCAGCCAATAGTACTGAGGGTTAAGAAAAGAAAAAAGATTTCAGAAATATTTAGGATATATTATAAGAAGAGCCTGGGGGTTGTTTGGATGTAGAGTTCAGGAAAGAATCCCTGGGGAAACAGGATTTTGTTTGGCTGGAACAGTATCATCAAGAATTGAGTTGAAGAACAGAAGAGAGATCAAGATTTAGTAAAAAGAACATGAATTTCATTTAAACATGCTGGTTATATAGTGCTTGTGAGTTAGCATTTTCTTTATTTATAATGTGTACGTTGATTATTTTGTTAAAGAATTAATTCTCATAGATTATAATAAAATTATAATGAATGTTAATATACAATCAGAAAGTTACAAATATTAACTAAAATAAAGATAAGAAATTAAACCAGGTAGAAAAAGAAGAAAGTATAATTAATAATTGAGACTACTATAATGACTAAATTATAATATTATAATCAGTAAATTTAATTAAATAAGAAAAAGAAAAAAATTCAATATATGATATTATGGCAAGTAATTAACCATTTAGGGGAAAAAGCTAATACCCACATCTAACAACATCCATCAAAATAAATTCCTGATAGACAAATATTAAAATATAAAAGTGAGACCACTGAAGTTATAAAATAACATAAGATATAACATATATGCTATAATACTCACTACTAGTTCTTGTTGGAGTGTGGTTACCACATATGGCAAATAAAAATACCAGATGCCCAGCTAAATTTGAATTTCAGATAAACAAATAATTTTTTTGTATATTTATGTCCAAATATTTTACTTGGCAACTATCTTAGGGAAAGAGATTTTTTTTTTCCTTTTGACCTCCTGTTTACCAAAGTTTTCTAAACTGAATATTTACTAACTTGTATTTCTGATGTATGTAAACCAAATTATAACAGAAAAAAAAATCTACGGGGGCCTGCTTAGAGAGAAGCGAGCGAAGTATATCAAGAATTTTGAGCTAACAAGAATCCGCCAAAATAAACCTAAGTTCTCCTGCAAACTTGCTCTTCCCAACCGTGATACGTGGGCAAGTCAATTTTGCCTCTTTAAACAGTGTGTACAGTGATTTTCTGGAGTTGTTTTTACTTTATTTCTGCAGTGGCTGATGCTGCTGTTATTGCAACTACTCACTACTGAACACAATGTGCATTGACACAATGCTTATACATTATTTGACTTGATGTAGATGTTATTTCCATTTTACAAAACGGGCCTTGCTTAAAGATGTTAAGTAACTTGCCTAAAAGCCATAGGCAATATAGCACAGGGGCTACAGTCCAACTTAGTCAAATACCTAAGTCCATGTTCTTAACTACTATGTTATACATCTCTTTCAAATCTAAACATTTAGTGGGCAACAATACAATGAATTATGAATCTTAGGAGTTTTCAGTGGTTTTTAGGTACACAACAAATTATTTCTTCTAAATGTTAATGTACTCTCAGGTAATCTTCTTTCATCTGACTTACAGTCAAACTGCTATTCCAGAAAAACATTTTTCCCCCAGACTGCATTTTCCTTCACATATAGCTCATGTGAGTTGCTCTGTGCCCTAATCCCTGCCTACCTTGGGGGTTACATTCTGAAAAATACCTTGGCTGGCACAGCTGGATCTCATATAAAATAAGGAGTTGAGGAAATTTTTAAATGGCATCACATAAAAGTTCAGAGGGCATGGGCCTTCAAAAAGAATGAATTCTTTGGCTTTAAAAACTTGTTTTGTAGGATAACATACTATTTCCTGAATCAGCTTCAATTGTTTCAAGAAATCTTGTTCCAGTGTTATAGGATGGTGAAGTAGATTCTCCTACAATTTTTGTGTTATGCAAAGTATAGTGTGTTTTTAAGTCCTCTTTTATTGGTATGAAAAATAATATCCTTTAACATTTTATTTCGGAATGGTTAATACATTCACAGAGTTCAAAATTTAAAAGATATATAAGAGTAGAGTGAAAAATGTCCCTGGAATTCCTGGCCTCAAACACCACTACCATCCCTAGACGTGATCAATGCTTTCAATTTCTTGAGTAAACATCCCTAGATGTAATCAATGCTTTCAATTTCTTGAGTATTCTCCCAGAAATATTTTTGCATGTAGAAAAAATTACATGCATAAATTTCTTCCCTATTTTTACACAAATACTCTACTTTTTGTTTTTTTTTAACTGAACATATCTTGGAGATTGTCTCATACTTGGACATACATCAAGAGATTCATGCTTTTTTAAGGCTGCATAGTATTGCATTCTATGAACGCATTCTAATTTTATTGAACTAGTCTTGTATAGGTAGGTATCTCGGTTGGTCCCAACTTTCCCTATTACACACAATGGATCAATGGATAAACCTTGTGCACACATCATTTCATACAGTGAAAATGATCTATATGTGAAGTTGCTAGAAGGTACAACTTTTAGGAATTCCCCTTCACAGAGCTGGTAGAAATTTACACTCTCAGCGTGAGGGAAAGGCCTCCTTCCCACAGAATGTCGTCACACCTTCTGATGCTGGGCGGTCTGACAGGTGAAAACAGAACCTCCGTGTAGTTTTAAGGGGTATTTCCCATCTTACAGGTGAGGTTAAGTTTTCATGATTAAGAGCTATTATATATCCTTTTATGAAAACAAATCTGTTCATATCCTTTGTACATTTTCCCACTGTATTATTGTTCTTTTCCCTTGAATTGCAGGAAAATTTTTTCTTTACCATGAGTTGCAAATATTTCCCCAGCTCGCCATTTTCTTTTTTATTTTGCTCATGGTGGTTTTTGACATGTAGGAATTATTTATGTTAGGTGAATTTATCCATCTTTCATAGGTTTTGGATTTTCTGTCGTATTGTAAAGACATTCCTGCCTCTGGGATGAAGAAAAAAAATCAATGGCTTATCTTAAAACTTTTACGGTTTTATTTTTCACATTTACGTTTCTAATCCATCCAGAACTTATTCTGATATAAGGTATGAGGATTAAGTTCAACTATATTCTATTCCTAATGGTACTCATTCAAGTGGTACCCGGTACTTTTATTCACTCTTGTACAATGGGAGCAAATTTTGAAAAATGATCATTTCACAAATCATTCAGCTACATAATGACATAGTTTTGCTCCATCATATTAAAATGGCAAAACCTAAATAGATCTTTCTATATATATTATAAAATAACAACCAGTCTGTGGGAGAAGGAAGCAAATAACTGTTGGGTCTCTGTTTAAGGGGAGTGAATAGAATAATTCAATATATGTAAAGAGAATTTTGTTTTTGAAATTTAAATACAGAAGTTTTTAAATTATTATAAATTTGAGTTACCACAAAAATATGGTAACAAAATTATAGCTAGCAGAATTGCTGTTAAATTATGTACTTTGTAATTATGTATATAGATTATATATACTATAGTTTACATATAAACTCAATATTTTGTGATATCACTTGTAATGTTTGAATAAAGAAAATTCTAAAATATAATGTCAAACTTATGGAAAACCAAGAGCACAAATTGCAGACATCAGATGATTTCTGTGAAAATGTGACATCTATCCAATGGTTGTACCCAACCTAAAACACAGAAAATTCTCTAAGGTTTCTTGTAATATAGTTAAGATACAAATAAGACAAATGAGCATTAAAATTTTGAAGTACTGATGAGAACAACATACAACCTACAGAGTAAAGCTTGTTATTGCGAACAAGTTACAAATCATAAATATTTGCTGAGTAAAGTAATAAACAGTCTTTTCCTTTTCCTTATGTGACTTCTCTAAATTTACCACACAAATCTTCAAAATCAATTTTACAAATATACAGGTCAATTTTAGTTAATGAGATAGAAAAATAAGGAAGACACCATAATAGCTCACTTATTACACTTGCTTAAATTTAATATGTAGAAATTAATGACAGTAATTACTAAAAGACAGTAATCTCATCCTTATTAACATTATTATAGACGGCAGAACCGAACGTATGAGAAGTTAATCATGTTACATAAGTCACTAAATTTAATCTTGGAAATTCTTACATGTCATAAGAATAGCCTGTTTGCAATTCTGGACATTCCAGATTAAATGTGTTAACTGACTATTAAAAAATAAAACGACTATCATTTGAGTGTTATTTTCCAGGCGCTATAACAGCATTTTGCATATTATTACTTAACTTAATCCACATAACCACAGGAAACAGGCAACATCATTTCACCAATTTAGACAAGAAAATGAAAATTAGAGGTTTAGAAACTTGCCTAAGTCACATAATTAATTGCTAAGTACAATCACTGGTCGTACTCACAGATTATGTCCTTAATGCTGTTATAGTTCATCACAAATGTAGTTAAGAAAAAAAAAGGAGAGAGAGATAATTTCAGGAATTTAATATCACTCAACTAAATACAAACTTTATTCAATTGAGAGTGAAACAATATTTATTTTTAAAACCAAAATTATTCCCTTCAGAGACTAGTATTCAGTAATCTCATTTCAATTGTGCTTTCATTAAATTCAAATTGGTTAAACCTTGAATGTGTAAAAGGCGGTATCTCCATTAAGCTATAGAAGAATTAATTCAGAATGAAAATAAGCACCTAAAATCTTTCCTGGTATACAAAAATACATGTGCCATATAGGTAAAGGCCGGGAAAATCTGAGGATCATAAGGTCATTTATTCCATATAAAGTAAAAAAAAAAAAAAAAAAAAAAAAAAAAATTTCTTTAGGATATGAGTACAATAAACCTATTTTCCAAAATATAATTTATGATGTTGGGGACTGCTACAGAGGTTAAATTTTTAAAAACTCAACTGAACATTATAGAAACTAATGAAGCCATAACCATCTTAGGTCCCATGTTAGTTTCCTTATAAAAGAGAACATACGGGGCCGGCCCGGTGGTGCACTGCTACAGTGCATCGCTTGAGAGCACGGCGGCGCTCCCGCTGAGGGTTTCGGATCCCACATACAGACCGGCCGCTCACTGTCTGAGCGTGGTGCGGGCACAACACCGAGGGTTGCGATCCGTTGCCGGTCACGAAAAAAGAAAAAAAGGAAAAAAAAAAAAAGAGAGAACATATGGAAGCACATATAAATATTTGTGTAATATATTAGTCTTATAAATACTGCTTCAATTTATCCAAAAGTGCAATCAGTACAAATCTTTTCTTACTTTCTGTTTTTCAGGTCCATCGAATGCAACACTCCTGGATTCTTCCACAGACTCACAGACAAGGCCATTTCCACACACGAATTCAATCACTTTCTTGAGCTGTGGAAACTGAGTCTTTATGACATCAATCGCCATTTTACAGCCTTTAATCTCCCTTAATTTTTCATTGATTGGCTAGATCTAAAAGGTTTAAAAAATACTTCATAAACTAGATATACTAAAATATAAACCAACTGCTCATTACGTTCTTTCTCACCAAACACATAAAGGCGGGACAACAAATGATGAATAGTGTGCACTTACACATAATAAAAGTTTGACATGAACATGATGAACTATATCCCACCATTGGCTCATGTAACATTAAAAATAAACTTCATCAAAAGCCAGAGGACTTAATTTCCAGATTCAGCCCTGTCACTAATTATGTGGGAGAAAACAATGCATGAGAAGTGCTCCATGCTCTCAAGACCATGAAATATAGTGGAAAATGATATCCCTTTACATATGTGTAAAAAGAGTGATACAATACTATGGTACTTAAAAAACACTTTAGAAATAAATGTTCAGGAAAGGCTTCAGACCTTCTTAGTCATGACTCTTAGGTTGGATATACAAACAGATCAAAAAAGTGTCTGCAATGTATTAATGAAAACCTGCAAGTAAGATCTCACTTCGGGGTAACAAAGCAAAACAAAGCAAAAACGCTACATACAACCAAAATGTGTATATGTGTGCGTGTGTTATATATATACACACGTACACATGAGTATATACACCTGCGAATATATATTTATAAAAATTGAAGTGTATGGGAGCAATCAAAAGTAGTTACTATTAAGGAACTGGAGACTGAAAAGGGATAAGAGTATTCCCTCTATATTTGATATAATTCTTTAAGAGACGTTTCTAAAAATGAGTCTGCCTTGAAAAACTTCTCAAGTGGGGAATAAGTAGAACAGGATTTTAACAGGAAGATGAATTAGGGCTAAGGAGTTTCAGGAGGCAGAAGGTATAAGCAAAAGTGTATTAGTACAATGGACCGCTGGCATTTGCTGAGCCCCTCCTCTGTGCAGGCACTGTGCCAGGTGGTTTACCTGTAATGACTCCTTGCAATAATCCAATAAGGTAAGAATTAATTCTTCTACTTCATAGATGAAGAAACTGAAGCCCAGAAAACTTATGAAAAGCTAAGTGGGAGCAAATTAGAAGTAGGGCTGAGATTCAAACTCAGGGCACTCCAACTCTAAGGCATGTGCTGTTAACCACTATGCACACTGCCTGCAGTTCAGGGTCTTGACTGCAGATCAAATAGAACATTATCTTTGGTAGGCAATAAAAAAGCACAAAGGATAGCAATTATGATATGACAAAGTTCCTGCTGCAGGAATTTAGATTCTGGACATGGGAACATATATCAACACATAACTCAAGGTTCAAAATTTAGCCTGCCCCACCAAGAGTTGACACACTGGATCAAATAATCACAATAGAGACTGAGTTGACATTTCGCCCACAGACCATACATCTTATCAATTTCCTATCTAGATGGTCCCTAACTTACGATGGTTCAAGATATGATTTTTTGACTTTACGATGGTGTGAAAATGATATACATTCAGTAGAAACCGTACTTCAAATTTTGAATTTCAATCTTTCCCTGGCCTAGTGGTATGTGGTATAGTACTCTCTTGTGATGCTGGCAATGGCAGCAAACCACAGCTCTCAGCCAGCAACGTGATCAAAAGACTAAACAACCGATACCCTGCAGTGCACTCTGTTGCTAAGCTATGAGGTTCGGTAGGTTAGATGTATTAAATGCATTTTCAACTGATGATATTCTCAACTTACGATGGGTTTACCGTGACATAAAGCAATGGTCAAGTTGAGGAGCGTTTGTATTTTGCTACAGAACAAAAGTCATTGCTGGCTAGTATGCCGAGTGGTGTAGTTCTAGAGCATTGGTACCAGAGTCACCAAGACAGAATTATGGCAAAACCAGATTAGGAAAAAAATGATGTGATATCAAGAAAGATAGCAGCTACTTGATATTACTCTTTGCCTGCCACTACATTAACAGCAGCCATGCAAATGACGGGCTAATTGTCCACGATTTTTTTCAGTCACTACCATAGTTTTAGGCAATAAAGACATACTATAACCGACAAGTTTTTATCACTACTAAATACTAAACATTACAAATTTCTTACCTCCAGGTAATCTAGAGCAAGGAATGTCTCAGGTTCAGCTCTTTACTCCTTCAGAAATTGAATACAATCTTTCGCTACTTTTTCAGAGACCACAACAATGGCAAACATGTACTGGTCAAGAAGCTTAGTAACAGCCAGCTGGTATTTCTTAGGAATGGGATGACACAGGTCAACCAGTCTTCCAAACTTAGCAGGTTTCAAGAAAGGAAAGAAAAACAAATATATTAGTGAGGAACTTATAATTCACTGTTTTCTCATGTAACGAAGAAACATAGACAAAACATAACTATAGTCTCATTCACATGGACCTAAGTTTTATTATGAAATTTCCATTTAGGCATGTTACTTCATTTAAGAAAAGAGTAATGCAGCGGGACTAACCTTATCAAAGTACTAAAATATTTTCTATAACTGTAGTAATTAAATAATATTCATTCCTTTCCTATTTATTAAACGAGAATCTTTGAGGCACCTACTACGTGCAGGACTGAGCTAGACACTGGGTAAACATTACTTAATACAAAAGATACTCTCTGATCTCACACAGTTTTCAGTCTAGTAAGGAAGAAAGACAATCGATAACCACATGCATGTAACAAAACACAGCTAGTCACTGTGACCAAAAAAGCGAGTGCTCTGAGAGTATATAAAAGAGACCAGGTTGGCCTAAAAAGTCAGGGAAGGCTTCCCATGAAGAAGTGTTATTTGAGCTAAGATCTGATGAATGGTCAAGAATTAGACAAGTTCAAAAACTTTACTAGAATATGTCTGAATGTCAAACATCCTGTATCAATAGTCTCTAGAATAGCTGAAGATTTAATTGTTTATCTTTGGACTCTCTTCCATTTATTAGTTTCTACTACAAGAACACAATTTCCTTATGATAGCTCATCATAGTATTTCATATTTATTATCTTTGCTTTAAACATTTAAATCTCTCTTTTTTTTTTTTTTTTCCCATTTACCTGTGCTTATCTCAAGCTTTTCTTCTGGGTCAAGAATATAATTTTCAACTGTGCAGCTCACTCCTTGCTACTTCTAATTTATTAATTAATATTCCTTGCTACTTCTTATTAACTTATTTTATTTATTAGTCTATTTTATTTATTAAGTAAATGTTAAGTAATTATTGTTCAGTAATGATGTTTGTTCTTAATTTGTTTTCTTAGCTCCATGTTTTCCTTTTCATTTTGTTTATCCTCATATTTGAACCTAGTTTTATGAATTCAAGCTCTTATTAAATTATGCAAAGCAGAAAACACTTATGTGGGATTATGTTCTGTAACTTTCTAGGCTGGACTTTTAGGCCTCTAAATATTTTTAAATATTTTCTTTCTCTTTATTATTACATATACTTATAGCTGTAGCTGCCATAGTGATTCTTTTCATCTTGCTTAGGTTCAATGTGGGCATCTCTGTTTATTTTCATTTGCTGTAATAATCGTTTCATTTTTTTTTGGAAAAAAAAAAGCCTACAGTACTTGATATTTCCAGGTGCTCTCCTATCCACGTACTAACCAGGCCCAGCCCTGCTTACCTTCCGAGGTCAGACAAGATTGGGCATGGTTAGGGTGATATGACTGGAGACAGGCTCTTCCTTGATTACCTTTCCCAAAGAACTGAGATGGCTAACTCCTTTGAGCAACAGTTGATGGAACAAGTATTTCCTACTTTATCCGCCTTCCTACCACCTCAGGGGTTGGAGGGCAATTTGAGTGAGAACTCAGCTAAGGCTTTGTAAGATTATGCTTTGTTTGAATACCTGAGTTCTGCTCTGTTTTGTGATTTTTAAAATTAATATCCTATATGAAGGTTCTTCTATCTTGGGGGAGGAGGACAAATCTTTCTTTGGAAAGAGCTTCAAAATGGCCTCTCAATTTAATGAGAAGCCATAGAGTCTTCATTTTCATCAGAGAGCAGTAGAGTCACCTTTCCTGATACACCAGTTTTTGATTCTAACTACCTCCAGTTAGAAGAGCAAAAAAATACAGATAAGTTTGCTTCTTTTTAGATTAACTTTTATTAAGTGAGAATTTTAGGAAATAGTCAACTTATCACTTGGCTTAGGCAGAGTTAAAAAGCAATGCTACAATTCAGTTATTTTTTTTAATATCCTGGACTATCACCACTTTTTAGGTTTATAACATTAGTTTGACTCGTTGTCGAAAAGGATATGTTTAGGTTTTTGTGATTTTGTTAGAAATTGTGAAAAAAAGATTCTGTGACCCAGGTTTACTCCTCTATCATTATCCAGATGTCAAAACCACATTTAAGAGTCAGAAAGTCAAAAAGGATACTGTAAAGGAGATGAAGATGGGTGGCCAGAGAAGTACAAGAAAACCATGGGAGATGAAGATGGGTGGCCTGTAAAGGAGATGAAGATGGGTGGCCAGAGAAGTACAAGAAAACCATGACAGTGTGGTACCATGGAAGCCAGTGGCAGGTGTTTCAAAATAGATCAAGTGGTTGACAGTGTCAAGTGCTGAAAACAGGCCATCATAACATGACTGCACAGTGTACAATGATGTAAGTGACAAGAAAGTCAGATATCGAACCCCTGATCCCCAAGGAAATAATGCCATGAGGGTGACACCCCAAGTAACAGGTGATATTGTATTTTCTTGATGACATACATAAGCAATACTAGATGCATAGAGAATAAAAATATGCCAATGATGTCACTGAAAAAGTATTTTTTTTTAAATTAAAAACATGAAGAACATGAGGTATGAGTCTACGCGTCTGGGGGCTCAGACTACTTCATGGCACCCGTTTCCATTGGGGATACTGACAATAACTCAGACTTTTTGGGTACTGTGTTCATGTCAATGCTTCTCCCCAGTAATTACTTATCTGTCGACACTACACAAAGTAATTTACATTTTACCCCAATTATTTACTGTTATCCTTTAAATATAAATTGCCAAGCACAAAACATAAAGATTTCTGAATTTTTTTTGCTTCCTAATAATGGTATATTTATAGATCCAAATAAGAATATACTGTTTTCACCACACAGGAATGCTTAGCCTTGTTTTAATTGTTCATTCTAATTACCACAGAATCTGGGTAAAGTCTTTTAAGGTGATCCAGAATCTCTGCTCTCTTTTGCTGACGTCTTCTCTCATGGTTATCAATTCCAGCATTCTGCAATTCACTTCCAATAAGATCCAATTCTTCATTAACCTCAGACAGTCTTGATTTTGCTTTGTCAATTTCAACCACTAGGGTTTCCTCTTGCTCTTTCTCCTCTTTCAAGCAATCCCTTCGTAATAACAACAGCAAATTATATAGCAAAAAGCAAAACCAAAATTTAGGAATGGAGTAGTGCTCTATTAATATTGAAAAGATAAAAAATATATATAATAAAATAAACCTAATACCAAATGAAGGCAAAACAATTTTGATCGTTCATTGTTGATTCAAAAGATATGTATTTCTGCACACTGAAATAGTAACAGTAGATCACTATAACCAGAGCAGTCCTCATGAGCTTAATAAGGAAATGCCAATTAAAAAGAAACCCTTAGTTGCAGAATACTTAGGTTGTATGAGGGTTCTTCAAAAAGTTCATGGAAAGATTCATATTATCGTTTAATTCTATTTTTCCATGAACTTTCTGAAGTAACCTTGCATTAGCTTTCATGATATAACTCACTACTCTCATTAAAAATATCAGTACCAAAGAGACTGAAAATTTCAGTACTGTTACACATTTGTATTTCCAAAATTTAAATATTTCATTTTTTATGTAGTCAAGGATAATCTTTAACAATCTACAATGAAATGAAAAGCAATGGAGGAAACAAAGAAAAGAGTCGAGGAGTGAGAACTTTGTATCAGTGGGAGCATTCATTTGATAAACAGAAATAACCAGACACTTGAGAGGTAAAATAGCTGAGTGTTTTTTTTTACTCTACCTACATGCATGTCTTTGTATCCTCCTCCAACTTCTTTATTCGTTTTTTATGATCTTCTATTTGTTCTTTTATTTGTTTTAGATTTCCCTGAAATAGGAAAGGAAACCTAAAATCAATTACAGGAATTCCACCCCAATTAAATTGCATGCCTAACACTTACTATAACATTGTAAGCTGTTATAAATTTGAAATACATCAAAGACAACCATATGAAAATATTTGAAAAGAGTCGAGTACAGAGAACTTCATAACAGTGGGAGCATTCATTTGATAGACAGAAATAACCAGACACTTGAGAGGTAAGAAAGCTGAGTGTTTTTTTTTCCTCTACCTACATGCATGTCTTTGTATCCTCCTCCACCTTCTCTATTCGATTTTTATTATCTTCTATTTGTCCTTTTATTTGTGTTAGATTTCCCTGAAATAGGAAAGGAAACCTAAAATCAATTACAGGAATTCCACCCCAGTTAAATTGCATGCCTAACACTTACTATAACATTGTAAGCGGTTATAAATTTGAAATACGTCAAACATAAATATATGAAAATATTTATGAGAGCAAATTTTAAGCTTAAAAAGGCAGTCTGGTATAGAGCTTTGAAGTTGCACAGATCAGGGTTAAAATCGTGACTCTATCATTTGCTGGATATTTGATCTCCAGCTAATTCACTCTCGTAGCTTCAAAGTCCAAGAGGATTATTTTCAAATATCTGCACAGTTCTTATCTGTCCCTCAAACTAATTCATTCAATAAATATTTATTCACTGGCTACCATGGGGTAGGAACTAGAGATATGATAATGAACAGGATAGAGTCCTTGCCTTTAAGGAGTAATGTCTGGTGGGAAAGAGACAAGTAATGACAGTAGTGTGGTTTAATGTTAAACCACTTACAGGGCAACTAATAGAGTTTTGGGGAAAGGACTTCACAAAAGTCTTGCTCTATTCATTTTATCATTAAATCCAGTAATGTAGTAATCTCCGATTTGTTTCATGTCTTTAAGCCTTCCCACATCTAATTCATCCTGTGTACTATAGCAAGACTGATCTGTCTTACTCCATTACTAAATGATCTAAAACCAGGAGTGTATGAAAGTAAAACCACAATGCTTTTCAGTGTACCACCGGGAAAGAGAATAGCACACATTTGAAGTGGAAAAGGACAAGCATATTCCAAGATAATTATCCTGTTTTACTCACTTATCACACAATTTTACTGAACAAACCTCCACTACGCAAGGTGCCAGAGTTATAAAAATGAGCGAGACAGTTCTTTTGCTGTAGGAACTCACACGTGTTGAAAGTAGAGTTCCCATACTGAGGTTCTATTATCTCACGTAAGAATTCCATCCAGAGAGGGAAGAGCAAGAGTCGTCAATGAGGAGAGCACCAAGCTCAGCCAGCTGGGAACAGGTGCTTCTGCACCTTTACTCTGGCCACTCCCAGAGCCTGTGTCATTAGTTTAACATGCCAGGTGGGTCTCTTAGGTGATGACCTAAGGGCCGGGGACAAATTTAGGACTTGGCGTAGTTCCATGGAAGAGTAGGATTTACTGGAGAAAAATCTAAAAGACCAGGGTCAACAAGAGAAGGCGTGGGTCACATTTGCTCTCACCATCCCACAGGAGGTGTGTCAGGACCTGGGTGCTCTGCTGGACGCATAACGTGGGATAATCAGACTACCGTGGTACTAGGCATTCTGGACTTGAGATGCTGGCTGATCACGCTAGTTGTCTGAGAAAACCAACTATTGCTGAGCGCCAGAGATCTTGAGACCTGCGGAAAGTGACAGAGCCTCCTATTTGTGAAGGGAGTCATCGGTCCTGTGGAAACTCAGTTTGGGTACAGCTCTTCCCCATCTCTCTCCACCTGAGCACGTTATTTCTTTTTTATATTCAAAAGGCAACAGCCGTTCAACCGACACTCATTGACATGTACTAAGTGCAAGGTTTACAATGGACATCATTATGAATCCTGCCTTGAAGAAGCTTCCAGTCTAGCAGAGCTGTACCAGTTAATTGTAAATACTGTGCAATCTTATAAAAGCCCTTAGATAGTTACAGATTAAGAACAATGGGTACTTATATAAGGACGAAATTATTTTTGGCTCTTGTTTTGAGTGGAGTGGGGAGAAAATGAGGGCAAGGGAAAGGCTTTGTGCTATAGATAACTATAGAACTTACAATGTGATACAAATGATACAATTATACAAATATTTTAAAAATATTTCCTCCTATGTTACTATCTTTATTTTTCTCATGACACAAAATGCCACCTCTTCTACTCACAGAACTATCATATACTGCACCTTCCATATTTGTAGTTCCATCTGCCAAATCACAAAGACTAAATGAGACAGGGTACTATAAGGCGAAGGAGATGCACTCTGAAGACAAAGCGTTTGGAAGTAAATCCCAATTCCTCCATTTATTACCTTAATCAAGTTTGCTTAGTCATTTCGTGTTTTGATCCCCTCAGCTGTAAAATACAGTAATCCAACAAATATTTATTGACTATCAGGTGTGGAAAAGGAACTATTCTAGTTGCTTGGGATGGATCAATGAATAAAACAGACGAACATCCCTGCTCTCATAGAATGTACACTGTAGTGGGGGAACACAGACAAATATATTTGAAACATAAAAGATATCCTAAATAATACTAAGTACCATAACAGGTAATCCAGAAATTATTTAATTGCTTATGTTTGATGTAAAGCCATTTACATATTGAAATGTTACTGCCAAAAGGGAATAAAATGTCACTGAGGATAATCCAAATCATCACTGCAAAAACTGAGGTACCTGAACTTCACCATGCCTCCTCTTTTCAAACGCCAGTCTTTCTTCCTCCGCCTTCTGTTCCCACTGCAGTTTTTCCATTGTTGGATCGTTATAGCTGCTTTCGTTCTTACTTCTTCCTGAAGTTCGTCATAACGATCCAGCTGTGTAAACAGCATTGAAACATTGCTAACTCACTTATAGAAACATGACAGGAAATTCTTTGTATAATACTAGCAGATAATTAATCTTATCAAAAGCTAATTTTATATACATTGGATCATAATTGGCCATCTTATCCAGGTAATCTAATGTGAACATCATAGAAAACTCTCTTTATTTAAAACTGCTTCTATAGAGCAACAAGGTATTCAAAAGAAACCCTATAATAATGTTTCTGTCAGAAAATCTTAAGAGAAAGGGAATCCAGAGAAAATGATATATCTTTTTCCTATTTATGCAGTCACTGTTATTTTGGTATATATAGTATGATGTAGGATAATCATAAAATTACTGAAAGAGATGCATGATAAAAATTTAGCTGAGAAAATATTTGGAACTCTCAATTATGATATTTGGATATTTACTATTGATTTATTATAATTAAATACCATATACTAAGTTGGATATTAATTTATCACTGAACATTTTAAATGACCTTAAGTAATCAATTTCCATCCTGTCAATGAAATGATGTCTCTTCAAAACCACATATATCGGACCTTTAAGTTTTTATAATATCACGAGAGAAACAAATTCTTACCTTAAATAACTTAATTACCTAACTTTTATATAACAAAATGATAGCACGTAACCTTGTTGAAGTATTTTCTAGACTTTAACTCATAGATGTTATAATGTCATCTAATCTTATAAAAAATACTTTAGTCTGATGAGTAAATTCAGATTCTGTGTATAGGCTAAAAAATCTAAATCCCCATAATCTACATTCTGACGAAAATCTCTTAAAATATCAGAAAGAGAGAAAATCCTTTACATTTTTCTAATTAAAAGGAGAAGTTGAAACAATAGGTACAAAAGATTTCCCATTTATTGACTTTTCACCTTACCATCTTCCAGTTTTAAGTCTCGTAATTTACTAACGATTTCTTCCTCAATCTGCTTTTCAAAACTTATCCATGCACCATCTAAATCAACCAGTTCTGTCTCCAGGTCTCCTATGTCATCTTCCTGTTTAGAACATTGTTTTTCACTGTCCTTTACTGATTTCTTAGCCACATCTAATTTTTCCAGGTGATGAGAAGTGCTTTCTTTGACTTGAATGTATTGAAGCTGCATCTTATTTAAAAATGCTTCATGGGCCGGCCTGGTGGCGCACTTGGTAGAGTGCAGTGCTTGGGAGCATGGTGGCGCTCCCGCCGAGGGTTCGGATCCCATATAGAGACCGGTCCACTCACTGGTTGAGCATGGTGCGGGCGTGACACCGAGGGTTGTGATCCCGTTACCGGTCATGACAAAAAGACAAAAAGGAAAAAATAAATAAATAAAAAACATAAAAATGCTTCAAGAGATTTAAAAAGAAAAAAGTTTGCCTTAAAGGAAATTATATTTTTTAAATATATAAAGGGAAGAAGTCCTTCTGATCAAATCACATTAAAAAATAAATTATAAAAATCAGCTTTCAGACTGTAAGCAGATCAGTGGTTGCCAGAGGCTGTGCAAGGTCAGGGGGAGGGTTAAAAAGATGAAGCAAATGGGCACTTTTCAAGAGTGTTTTAACTACTCTGTATGATATTGTAGTGGCAGACTCATGACACTATGAATTTGTCAAAACCTATAGAATTTTAGAGCACCAAGAGTGAACCTTCTTAACGTAAGCAAATTTCTTTAAAAAATCACTTGAAAGCCTGAGGGATTCTAAACGGAATAGAATGTGACAGAAGAATTACAAATGTATAAACAACTTTACCAAATGGGTGGGAGGAAATTGGTTCACCTAAGTAATTTTGGAAATGAGCAGAGTCTTTAAGACTAAAATCAAAAGGAATTGTTCGTAAGCACAGTACTCCAGTTATAAAGTTGCTTCCCTTGGAGGTATGGGTGAACAATGCCGATACTGCTATACATGATTACTGGAATCGAACAATTAAGCTAACGGATGGCTGATGGCGGACGCCAGGTTTCTCACCATTGAAATGGGGGGGGGGTATAGATAAGCAAGAGAATGCTAGACTGATCCATGTGTTAATGGATTAAAATGTAGAGACAGTATGAACTCATGTTTAGTTCAGTGAAGATACAGATGACTATATATGGAAATATTTAGATATGTGTATTTACAAGAGTTACTATACACACATATATTTCCCAGTTCTGTCCGCTGAGAAAGCCTAGAAACAAAGACATCCAGAAGGAAAGAGCACACCTAGCACCCAGATGTTTAGTTCCTAATACGAATATAAAGACCAGAACTCCTTGAAGAAATTACTGACTCCTGGGCAAGCTCACACAGGCTATAGCAGGCTGATGCTAGGACTGGCCCCTACGAAATGAGCCCGGAACATCTTGTAGTGCCAAAAACGTAAGGAACTGCCCCCAAACCAAAATCACGATGACGGCGATATGTTGAAAGGACACAGGAATTAATTCAGAGTTGTTCATAATCAAAACTGCCATAATCTAAGCAACAAAATAAACAATGCAGTATTAGATTATAACCTCAAATATAAAATATCCTCATATCCATACTGATGTAAATAAATAATTGAATAAATAAATAAATAAGAGACAAATTTCCCGTGTAGAAGAATTATAAATAAATCATGTAGATACTCTGCCCTTGAGGTAGAACATAACTCCCCATTCCTCAGGTTTGGGCTATGCCTAGTGACTTCCTTCCTAAGAATATAGTATGAAAAGGGGGAAAATAAAAGAAGACCTTTCCAATGGAGAAACCTGACAAAGTCAGGTGATCAGGGTCAACGTCAATAGTGATATCAAGTTGATATTATGATACAAGGTGTGATATATCCTATGACATATATCACATTTTAACATCCTGATGCCTTATGATGAGAATGGCATTTTATCTCTGTGGTCTTCCTCCCCAAATCCCCCAATCCCAGTCTAATTAAAAGAAAAGTTTTCAGACAAATCTGGACCGAGGAACATTCTGCAGAAAACCAGACCAATACTTAAAACTGTCAAGGGCATCCAAAACAAGAAAATCTNTTCCGATACTGCTATACATGATTACTGGAATCGAACAATTAAGCTAATGGATGGCTGATGGCGGACGCCAGGTTTCTCACCATTGAAATGGGGGGTTATAGATAAGCAAGACAAAGCTAGAGTGATCCATGTGTTAATGGATTAAAATGGAGAGCCAGTATGAACTCATGTTTAGTTCAGTGAAGATACAGATGACTATATATGGAAATATTTAGATATGTGTATTTACAAGAGTTACTATACACACATATATTTCCAAGTTCTGTCAGCTGAGAAAGCCTAGAAACAAAGACATCCAGAAGGAAAGAGCACACCTAGCACCCAGATGTTCAGTTCCTAATACCAATAAAAGGACCAGAAGTCCTTAAAGAAATTACTGACTCCTGAGCAAGCTCACACAGGCTATAGCAGGCTGATGCTAGGACTGGCCCATACAAAATGAGCCCGGAACATCTTGTAGTGCCAAAAGCGTAAGGAACTGCCCCCAAACCAAAATCACAATGATGGGGATATGTGGAAGGGACACAGGAGTTAATTCAGAGTTGTTCATAATCAAAACTGCCATAATCTAAGCAACAAAATAAACAATGCAGTATTAGATTATAACCTCCAATATAAAATATCCTCATATCCATACTGATGTAAATAAATAATTGAATAAATAAATAAATAAGAGACAAATCTCCCGTGTAGAAGAATTCTAAATAAATTATGTAGATACTCTGCCCTTGAGGTACAACATAACTCCCCATTCCTCAGGTTTGGGCTATGCCTAGTGACTTCCTTCCAAAGAATATAGTATGAAAAGGGGAAAATAAAAGAAGACCTTTCCAATGGAGAAACCTGACAAAGTCAGGTGATCAGGGTCAACGTCAATAGTGATATCAAGTTGATATTATGATACAAGGTGTGATATATCCTATGACATATATCACATGTTAACATCCTGATGCCTTATGATGAGAATGGCATTTTATTTCTGTGGTCTTCCTCCCCAAATCCCCCAATCCCAGTCTAATTAAAAGAAAAGTTTTCAGACAAATCCCGACCGAGGAACATTCTGAAAAATCTGACCAATACTTAAAACTGTCAAGGGCATCCAAAACAAGAAAAGCCTGAGAAACTGTCATAGCTGAGAGAATCCTAAGGAGACAGACAACTAAAAATAATACAGTATTCTGGATCAGAAAAAGGATATTAGGCAAAAACTAAGAAAATATGAATAAAGTATGAACTTAAGTTAAAAATATTCGGCCAATACTGGTTTATTAATTCTGACAAATATATCACACTAAGATGTTATTAACAGGAGAGACAGGGTGGGGAATTCTGTACTATCTTTACAATTTTTCTTTATATTGCAAAGTATTCCAAATTAAAAAGATTATTTTAAAAAGTCAATTTTCAAAATGTCATTTATTTTTTATTTTCTATCGATCTACATAAAACACAGCTATTACTACCTATTTATAACAACTCACTTTACTTCTTTTTGTTTGTTATAGTTGTCCGGTTAGCATTCCACATTCCTTTTTCTTGGCTTTAACTCTGTTTGCATGATGAGAAAGAGACTGTTTTGTGACACTCAAATCCCTATTCACACGCTCTAACGCAGAATTGAGAAAATGAATTTTCTTCTCATTGTGATATAGTTGGAAAAGCTGTAGTTGTATCTTCTTGACTTTCAGTTCTTCAAGAAGACCCTGGTAACGTTCTGCCTATAAAACAGTATAATTCAACAGCAGTTAAAAGTGAGTATATTTAAGCTGACCTTTCATAAACCCAGCGACTGTACCAAAAAACGATGTCTAATGAATTTTCAATTATGTCACTAAGAAACAGTATTCTTGACCAAAATACCATTATTTAGGGAAGGTTGCTGAATACACTTCTCAATTAAACCAGGAAACCATTAATTTTGTATCCATGCGCTCAGTGGTGTGGTGGTAAGAACAATGGAGTGGCACCCCTAACCCGGCTCCTAATCCCATTTCTGTCTTGAGGAGTTTGGCAAGTCCATTAACATTTCTAGCACCAGCCTCCTCATTTGTAAACTGAAGGAAGAGCATCATGTAACTTGTACGGTCCCTAGCAACTTTAAATTCAAGGATTCCAGGCAAAATTCCTGCTACAGGAAGTGATTTTCCTACTGATAGAACTAATAGGACTATTATAGTTCTTAATTATAGGTGAAAAGGAAGAAATTCCTTAACATTGATGCTATTAATAAAGAAATAAAGGAATGAAGTCCCTCAAAAGGAGAGCTCCTAATCAATGCAGAATTTCAAGTAGCAACTAAATGGTCATCCTCCAGGATGTTGTAAAAAATTAGGAAGTTGGACTATTCTAATTGTCCTTATCATGTTTCAAGTTCTGTAATTTTATAAGTTATTTCACTACACTGTGACTATTGCAGTCTGACTGTCACTGCTGCCACCCCTTTTTACTGACAAACGGACACATATACACATTTAAAAACTATGAAGAAACAGAGAAACACCACGAATAAGAAACATATACACTTCTAATTTATTTCCTTAAATATTTATTGAGTATCTACTGTGTGCCAGGCCCTGTTCTGTGTGCTGCTGAGAATATAGTGAAGAACTAGACAGACTGTCCGTGCTCTTGTAAAGCTTATATTCCAGTTATGTGAATGGGGCGGGGTAGAGGAAGAGGAATCAGAGAATAAACACACAAACAAATAATAAACACGATCATTTCATACAGAAATACATGTTCCAAAAGAAACAACACAGGCTGATGTGACAGTGCAAGAGAGGGGAAGCTAATTCAGATTGGGGCAGGGGCTAGGGGTGGTGCACAGCAAATGCCTGCTTGAGAAAAGAAAAGGATATTTTTATAAAGACGTGAACGAGAGAACCAGCCATGAAAAAATCAAGCATACAGCTCTCTAGGCAGAGGAAATAGCAAAAGCACCAGGATAAAAGGGAGCTTGATGTATTCACCAAATAAGAAAGGTCAATAGTGTGGCAAAATAGAGGACGTTAAGGCTTGAGAGGTGAACAGAGACCGGATCAGTAGGCAGGAAAGGAGACTAGATTCTCAGTGCACCGGGAAGCACTGCCCTGGAAGCTTTCATGAAAGGGAAAGACAAGATCTGATTTGCGTTTGAATAAGATCACTCTAAAATGCAAACAATTACAAACCATAGACAAGGCACTATACAGTACTTCACAAAGATCTTGGGAAAATGGAGCTAAAAGATAATACTAATCTTTCCATGAACTTCATGAGGACCCTTCGTACTAAGCATTGTGAAGGGCACCAAGAAATACCACAGCATTTGTAAAGTGAAGCCATGATTTCCTAGGGGTCCCCAAGACCCTTTTAGAGAACCCCATAAGAGAAAACTATTTTCATAATAATACTAAGACATCATTTGCCTTTTTCAGTGTGTTGACATTTGCACTGATGGCGTAAAAACCAATGGTGGATAAAACTTCCAGGGCTTAGCACAAAAAATATTTAATGCTAAGTATTTAGGAGAAGTTAGCTGTCTTCTATTAAGCTAGACGTTAAGGAGACCATAAAAATGTAAAACTGTTTCGCTCTTCTAATTAATTTGTTGGGAAAATTTAGTTATTTTTCATAACAATCTTATTTATGTTAACATGTAATAAGTTTATTATTGCTGCTTTTTACATGGACCATTACATCTATTTTTAAAATTTCCAGTTTGATTTCAAATATAATAAGGATTTGTAGATAAAATCCACATGTACACAAACTCTTTGCTGTCCTCAGTGCTTTATAAGTGTGTAAGGGTGTCAAGATCCAGAAGTTTCATAGCCTCTGCTACATAAGATATAAACCTATCAATGATGTTTCTAGTTGAGAAAATCAGACATTTTCATAGTTCAGGTTGTCCTGCCTATTTGGGATTAAGAACCCAAAAAGTGAAAAATATATCCAAAAGTTTATCTTTACTGAACATTGGGCTTTATTTTTCTTATATTATTAAAGAAATCTTCTTGGTAATCCCAACCCAATACCTAGTAACTCTAACAGACAAAATGTTTTGGTATCTAACACTTACTTGGTTACATCTTCATGACACCTTACCTCTTCTTTCTCTAATTGTGCTTGTTTCCGCTCTGCAGCTACACTTTTTTTCTTATTAAAATTGAACTGTGCATCCTCTTCAGCTTTTTGTAACTTTCTCTTCTTTTCTTTATATTTTCCTATTAGTTCTCCTGAGCTGCTGATTTCCTCAAAAAACTGGGTCCTTTCTTTTGGGTTTTCATTGAAATCGACTCTACACTTTCCTTTTAAAAACAGTAAAGCACACCAACATATAAAATATAGTGATGTATTTTCAGAACTATGAATCCAATAAACTACTACAGATACTTACCTGAAAAACTAGGCAGTTTCGTGCTTTGACTGTTATGCCGATCTTTTCCAACTCTCCTATGTAAGCAGAACGACTCACAGGATTATCATCACAATGAAATTCTGAGCATCCCACTAACATAAAAGGATAAAGACTATTAGAGGAAACATAAATATCAGACATATCTCCACAACCAAAGAAGTTTAATAAAATTATTTTTGTTATGGAAACGGCGAGTGCTGCAATAATATAATCATATACATGTTAATAAATGCATTTAATCAGCTAAGAAATACTGATTGTCTATTAGGAGGGTACTTTAGAAAGTTCATGGAAAAAATAGAATTGAAAATTAATACAAATCTTTCCATGAACTTTTTGCAGGACCCTCGTATATGCAAAGGACTATTATACAGCAATGAACAAAACAGATAAAAATTTCTTATCTCAAGGAGCTTATATCCTAAACAGGAAGACAACAAAAATAAGATATGCAAGAAAAATAAATAGTATGTGAGAAAGTGGTAAATTCTGAGGAGTAAAAATGAGCTAGGAATGTGGAATGAATTTTCTGTGGATGGGGGATAGGCTTTGCAATTTTAAATAGGTGGGCAAAGGAATCCTTACATATATAGAAACTTTTGAGTTAAAAATCTAAAGAAAATGAGAAAACTAGCCAATGAATATATCTAGGTGATAAATTGGTGAAATATTTAAATTACTTGTGAAGGCACAAGTATAAAATTATAAGTGCTTCAAAAATCATCTGTGATAGCATTTGGTCTATGTTAATAAGACAGCATTTATACATTAGAAATGTTCCAGTGGACATTGAACAGTAACAACAAAACAAGTAAACAACAACAAAAAAGCACGTATTTATAGAGGCTCTGTGAAATCCAAGCATAAGATAAAAAAATAAATTAATAAACAACACTCAATTTGTTTATTCAGACAACACAGGGAATTCATGAACAAATCACAACATAAAATTCAAACATTTTACTCGAGTTGCTTTTCAAGGTAAGAAAAACTATCTATACAAGCCAAAAGTAAGCATCTAATTAGTTCATCATAAGAAAAGCAGATAAACATAACCTCAGGAAGAAGTTTTATAACTTCTCTCTCTTTGAGGTAGTCTCCTTGTATCTGATCCAAATATCCAGATATAAAAATGCTATTTGACAGTAGGTTCATTTGAACAAATACAAGGGTACTTCAAAAGTTTTGTAGAAAGATTTTGAAGTACCCTTGTTATGTCTGCTTGAGGAAGAGTCTTAGTGGAGCATCAAATAGATTCTATTACTTGCCTCTGAGAGTTTCTATTGAATAGGGGGAAAAAAACCCTCTCATTCACTATGCCAGTGGAACAACAATGATCACCCTTCAAAGAATGAAAAGAACAGGCAATCTGACTTAATACTAAACAATCAAATGACATAAGCAAAAATCTACAGAAACTACCTCGGATAATCCTTGTAAATGTTTTCTCTTCCCCGCTTTCCTCCACATACACAATTTTTACACTTGCAGAAGAAGAAAAAGGTTTTCCAATATGTGCTCCATGAATAAGTTCTTGAATATTTCTCACTCTTAAATTAGCTGCTTTCTCTCCCAATACAAAACTAAATGCATACATTACATTAGATTTTCCTGGGGAAGGAAAGTGAAAAATTCATTCATTCTTAATAATAAAAAGCCTTGACCAGAGCTGAAGCAATCAGGACAAAACTGGGAGTGAAATATAGCCAATATACATGCCTAGATACTTCTGTCTTGTCAATGCTTAAAATGCATGTGACTGAAAAATTTTACTCAGATTACTTGTTTCTCCTATGCAGCTATGGTAGAGCATTAAGAGATCTAAATTTAAGGATCTAAATCCTAGCTCTCTCCCATTATTAGGCATTACGCCCCAGGTAATCATTTAACGTCTATGAATTTCAGTTATTCTTATTTTATAAATAAGGAAAGTATCACCTAAAGCATCGTCAGTGCAGCACTAAGCCCTCACATACTAAAAAAAAAAAAAAAAAAAAAAAAAGGGTAACTAAATTCAAGGTCTTCCCAACGGAGAAACTAAGGTTGCTAGAATATTTATGACTGGTATGAGACGGTGCTACAAAAAAATTATATAGCAGGCCTGAGACTGCTATCCTTTGAAAGTCCTGTTTACAAGGTTGGCTGGCATCTGGGGATTGGGTTTGGGATTTGGGGAGGGTTTCTACCATTCCCTGATCAGAATAGCTCATTGTGCCTAAAATGTTTGTGCGAACAGTACGATTTATGCTGACACCTGATTTCTTCCTAAGAGTCAAGAATTTTGGTATGTGCCAGGCAGAGAGGACCCGTGTGACCATCTCCCTGTAAAAACTGAGTCTTCAGTGGGGTTCCTGAGTAGGCACCATTTCACACCTGCGAACTTGTTACTGGACGAATTAAGCACTGTGTGACTTCAGTGGATGAAGACTCACAATCTTGCACCTGCTTTCCTCAGACTTTGCCCCACGTGCCTTTTCCGTTTGCTGTGTTTGCTTTGTATCTTTTCACTGTAATAAATAGTTCTGAGAACAACTATGTGCTGATTCCTGTGAGTCTTCCCTGAAAATCACTGAACCTGGGGATGGCCTTGGGGATTCCCCACCCCAATGGTAAATTTGTTATCCAACCGTGGGCCAGTAATTTCCTCTAATTTCCAAGATGCAAAATCAATGCAGCTACTACCATCTGTATTTATTTATTTTTACCTTTCTCACATTCTTCCCCCATATCAACAAACAGTTAAAATTTTCAATGCCACAAGGAGGAAAGTAACATGAACAAAGAGAAAGGTATACCGTCAGTCACTAGAAATATGGCTTAGTTTTAGAGATTTAGGATCTTTCAAAAAAACAAAAATAAAACCAGGTTAACATGCTGCAAATTCATTTAGCTATGTCTCAGTTAACCAAAGTTAACCGACAGCTCTAAAATGTGACTTTTGGGCTAGTTATTGTAAGACAGTGCATGTAACACAACATGAACATTCGTGGAATTGAATTATTAAGTCTGTCAGTAACAGAGCTAAACAGAAACTGTGTTTGATCAATCCTTATTTAAAATCTGCCTAAAATAAATACTTCCCCACCCAAATTCACTCATTCGATTAATATTATCCCTGACTAATAAAGGCTATATTCTGTCAAGAGTCAGACAGTACACAAAAAAGACAATTTCATGTTGTAATAAGTATAAAGAGATAAACTGGGTGATGAAATAGAGAGTAACAAAGAGGCAAGTTCAGATAGGATGGACAGAAAACATTTATTAAGTGCCCACCTGCAGCTAGTGTTAGGTAAACAACCATGTTGAAAAAATGAATGAACGAAACATGGCAGGTTTTATAATGACTAGATTGGGGACTTCTACTATATATAATTTAGAAACAACATCAGGAAAATTAGGATGAAAGAGTTATCTTTAGGCTATCATCACTTGATAAAGATAGATCAAGTATTCAAAGCTATAAAAATTACACTCTCATTACTTAAGTCCCTTTTGCATTTAACTCTACATGAGTCTCCCGTTCCTCTGCTTCTTTACAACCCTTCTACTAGTTCAAGTCCTCCTTACTTTTACGAACCTCCTTATCTGGACTCTTCAACTTTCAATCTCTTACCCCTCAAATTCATTCGTTCATACTACAAGCATTTTCTGAACAACTATTTATTAGGCACTTTGCTAAGTAGTAGGTTCAAAATAGAAATCTGTAGAATTGCAGTGTTAAAATTTATGGGAGGCCATATTTTGGACTAGCCTCCAGCACTAGGCTCCAGCAGAGGAGACCAAACCGAAATGGAGTCACTCATGGAAGTGCTACATAATCAACTGAAACTTAATGCAATGTGAAGTACGCAATATGTCCTATGATGGAGTCTAGCCATAAGGAAGCAGTCAGACAAACCTAAATATTTTGTAGGAAAACTTTTCTAATCTTTTCAACAAGTCAGTGCTATAAATAAAAAGATTGTGCCGAATAAAGAGAGAGTTAAGGGCTGCAACAACCAGATGCAATATGTGGTTCTAGTTTGGAAAATGGTTTGGTGAAAGAACATTTTGGAGTCAGCTGGGAAATCTTAATTTCAGCTGTGCAGCAGATGAAATGGTCATTTACTAAAAAAGGCAAAGATAACTGCCTGAAAACAATAAGTCAGAAAACAGCATGTACTGGATGATCTCATTTTCATTTTTTAAAAGTTTGCATTAAAAGAGTATTTATGGCTGTGACCCTATGTATTAGAGTAGTAATCTCTGAATTGTGTGAATATGATCTTTTTACTTTTTAAAATTTAGTTTATATTTATTAGCATATTCATTGTTACGAATCATACTTATTCTTTATGCGTGTAGCCAAACTTTCCTCTCCCCTTCCCTTCCACGTTTTACTTCTTTATTCTTGTTTGTTTTCTAATTCTTTACAAAGATATATACTGCTATGTAATAATAAAAATTAATTATTTAAGAATCCTGCAGCCATTATGAATTATTAATTTTTTGTAAAGAAACACATTCCTGGTTAGAAAAGTAAAACATTCAACATAGGGAATTGGGAAAATATAATAAGCTGAAAGTCACAGCATTTAGAGAAAATCTTGGTGATGGAAATGGATCCTGAATCTTGTCAAATGACTTTTCTTCACCTATCAAGAAAATAAAATGGAACAAATAAAGATTACTCTGATTTCACTATGCTACATGGATTTAAGGTACGATAAGCCTGAAGGTTGGGAACTCAGCAAACAGGTTCCTGCATTAATCCAAAGAAAGAGATGATGAGAGGCTGAAGGGACGTGATAGCAGTGGGAATAGAGGGAGGAGGACAGGGCTATTAAGGAGGTAGAACTGGCATGATTGGTAATATACTGGCTGTAATAGGGAGCATTTATCAACGATGAAGGAAAATTCATCAAGTTGGTAGTCATATGAAGCCCTGGGAGAAAAGCCTTCTAAGCCCCAGGACCAGCAAATGCTAAGACTCCGAAATGGCAATGTGTTGGGCCTATGCAAGGAAGGCAATCAAAGAAGCAATTCTGACCCAAGTATAGTAAATGTGGAGATTCCAACCTTGTATTCTATTGTTTCCCTAGATATGCACTACATGCTGCCCAGTTTGGAATATTAGCTGTGGTACAAATAGATATTCACAAAACCCTGGAAAAACACTCTACTCTTTTCAGTACAGCTCACACACCATCTTCTCTGGAAAACCTTTCCTGATCTACACTCTTCCTATCTGTACCTCCCCAAATCAAATGGTTTACTTTCCTTCTTTAAAGTTTCATAACCACTGTTATCTGGCATTCTATCTCAATTAGTGTGTTATTTTCTCTTTTTTTAAGTAAAACTTTACATTAATAACCTTTTATACTGATGACATACTAAAATAATATTTTGTATCTGTTGGATATTAAAATCAACTTCACCTCACGGTTTCAGGATCTGAAAGCTGGCAAATAGAATGGAAGGAACTTTTAATTCTAGAACAGTGGCTCCAAGTTTAAGCTCATGAAATAAATTCACAAACTGACCTGATGGTTTTCATCTTAACTAATTTGAACATAGGTTAAACTATCAGTCAATTAACTTTAAGTTATTTAGTATAAGAAGACAATAAGAAAGTTAAGTAAAACTCTAATGAAAAGCCAATAAGCAAAGTCTCTGTTTTAACAACATAACTAACCTTGTCAAAACAAGGATCCAAAAAATTAGTTTAAGACTCAGAGTTGTTTCTCTCCACGGAAATTTTTACTGAAAGGCAAAAGATTGACACAATCTGAAGAGAAACCAGAGTATCTAGTGTTACTTTCTTACACTCCCTGTAGGTCAGGAACAGAAGCTGTCTTACTCTGCATATCTTCTTCTGCTCCTAGCACTGGATTTATGTCAAGAACTATTTCCTGAATCTAACTGAATGGAAAATATAAAGGTTAAGATTAAAACCGAAATTTTTACTTCACTCCTCCCCCAAATTAGGAACATATCGAGTTTTGGCAGGTGGTGACAATAGGAAATTACTATAAAAAGAATGACCAAGTAAATTAAAATATAACAGGAAATGATCAATAGCCTTAATGAAATCTATCAGAATGTGCCAGTAATTCTGAGATTTAAAAAATATCTAACAAGAGTTCAAATGAATATAAATGAAATATCACCCATTAAATTAGTCATGGAGGAGTAGTGTATTGAGTTTTGTCCTTCATATAGCAAAAAGAATGTGAACACCCAAGACCACGTCCAGTATTACCTAATCCAGTCCGAGGGGATGTGGATGGTGTGAGGACTCAGGCTGGAGCGGTCCCGGCCGGGTCAGGACCTCCCGCAGTCCAGGCCGCATGGCCGCCCTCACATCCCCTCTGTCCCCTCAGGCAAAATGCTGCCGACTGGGCCGGGCGGAGGAGTTCAGGTCCCGCCCCGAGGTGCCCAGTTTCCGGAGCCGTTGGGGCCGATGATGCAGGTGAACCTCTTGAAGGGGCCAATGACCTGGCGGCCCCGCCACGACTTGAAGTTCTCCACGACCAGCACCTGCAGGAGGCCCATGGCAACAGCCTCCTCGCCTCAGCCGCGTCCTCGCGCCTGGCGGGAAAAACGCGGGAAGAGCCTCTCCAAGTCTCGCGAGCCTAGAACGAGACCACAGCATGACAGCGCCGCTCCTTAGCAACCAGAGTTGTTGAAAGTCCCCTTCTAATGTAATATTGCTAAAAGTTTTTACCATGAACTTGTATTGAATTTCTTTCACAAGCTTTTTCTATATGCATTGATGTGACCAAATGCTGTTTTTCTTTCCCTCTGCTCCATTGTTAATGTAGGAAATTACAATTAAAAATATTTTCTAACATTAAATCACATTTTTGTTCCTTAGGCACAGCCTATTAATTCACTGCTGTATTGAATGTGCCGTTAATTTAATTAAGATATTTGTCTCTCCGTGTGAGATTGGCAAAAGTGTCCTTTTCAAGGTGGTGTCCTCTTCTGGTGCTTGAATGGAAGGCAGCTAGCCTGGGAAAATGAGTTGAATGATTGCCCAACTTTTTGGATGCTTTAGAAATGGTTACTTAAGGTGGTGATGAGTTTTCCCTGGTAACTTTGTAGAACTGACCTGCAAAACTGCCTTGTCCCGGAACTTCTGAATATGGCTTGAGCTTAGAATGGTTTTATTTTGCATCATTTGCTTAAAGGTTTTTCTTCCTTTATGAACGAATTTATTGCTTAACTTCATTTTTTTTTCTAAAACATGATCTATTTTACTTAGGATTTGAAATTTAACACAATATTTGTAAGAAAAAATGTTTTCTTACTAAAAGCCTCAAGCACATGTCACATTACAGCAAATAGTATAGAGAACCCAATATACCAGAAGTTCGGCATCAACAATCTTCAGTGCAGGGCCAGTGTGGTTTCAACTATCCCCCTACCTCCTCTGCATCTGAGAAGCTGGAATAACTTGAAGCAAATCCAAGACACCACAGGATTTCTTCTCTAAGTACATCAGCTCGTATTTCTAAAGATATCTACTCTTTTATAAAACATAAAGTCAGCGTGGTTTTCATCGCGTCCTCGCGCCTGGCGGGAAAAACGCGGGAAGAGCCTCTCCAAGTCTCGCGAGCCTAGACCGAGACCACAGCATGACAGTGCCGTTCCTTAGCAACCGGAGTTGTTGAAAGTGCCCTTCTAATGTAATGTTGCTAAAAGTTTTTACCGTGAACTTTTGTTGAATTTCTTTCCCAAGCTTTTTCTGTACACATTGATGTGAACAAATGTTGTTTTTCTTTTCCTCTGCTCCATTGTTAATGTAGGAAATTACAATTAAAAATATTTTCTTACATTAAATCACATTTTTCTTCCTTCGCACAGCCTATTAATTCACTGCTGTATTGAATGTGCCGTTAATTTAATTAAGATATTTGTCTCTCCATGTGAGCTTGGCCCAAGTGTCCTTTTCGAGGTGGTGTCCTATTCTAGTGCTTGAATGGAAGGCAGCTAGCCTGGGAAAATGAGTTGAATAATTGCCCAACTTTTTGGATGCTTTAGAAATGTTAACTTAAGGTGGTGATGAGTTTTCCCTGATAACTTTGTAGAACTGACCTGTAAAACTGCCTTGTGTAGGAACTTTTGAATATGGCTTGAGCTTAGCATGGTTTTATTTTGCACTGTTTGCTTAAAGGTTTTTCTTCCTTTTTAAACCAATTTATTCCTGAGGTACTTTTTTTTTTTTTTTTCCTAAAACATGATCTATTTTCCTTAGGATTTCAAATTTAATATCTAATTTGTGAGAAAAAATATTTAATTACAAAAGTCTCAAGCACATGTCACATTACAGCAAATAGTATAGAGAACCCAATATACCAGAAATTCGGCATCAACAATCTTCAGTGCAGGGCCAGTGTGGTTTCAACCATCCCCTACCTCCTCTGCATCTGAGAAGCTGGAATAACGTGATCTACTCTTTTATAAAACATAAAGTCAGCATGGTTTTCAATTCTAGACATTTAAGTTAGT